AATTTGCCCAGGAGCAAGAAAAAATATCAGAACGAATGATATAAAGCCATAGAATGGTCATAAGTTATGAAAAAAGCTGCTATTACCAAGCTTAAATTTAAAAGGAAAAAAATATAGCTTTCACTAGTCATTAATCTTTAAATTGATACATGAATTAATCTGTAATGGCGGTTGCCAAAAATAAGCTGATTGAAGATATGGCTGAAGAAAAAGTGGTAGGAGCGTTTCACGTACTGTATTTTGTGGCTTAACCGGCCAAATGGAAACTACTGGCTCTATTACGCATTCTATTATAAGGTCAATTACCCACGTATTTTGATTGGCTCTCGCTTCTTATCTTAGCTTTTGGAGGACAGACGCATAAATTTAAGAGATAGACCGCACTTTCTATCGGTTTACTGCCGTAATATTTCATTTAAATCAGGAGTCGAAGGCGAATGATTTATTCATTTTCCAAGTGTTCTCCCAACATCTCAAGTGGAAAATAAAGTTTGTTTTGAAAATTATAAATGCGTGTGGAAATTAATTTATTATTTATTATGAAACAAATAACGAAGCCTTGACTGTACTCTTTTTTGTTGTAAACCACTCAGGAAGCGGCTAGAGCACTTACGAAGAAGGTAAAACACCACGTCCCTTTTTTCCTCCTACACTTCTTTCCTGTTCTAACCGCCTCCTACGTACTTTACAACAGAACAGAGCACACTCGAGAATTCTCTATTTGTAACGTAATGTCTCAATACTGGACGTGGCTCCCTGAGGTCGACGTAGCACTATCCAGTGGAACAGCATCAATTAAGTTTTTTCAGCTGTTTAGGTGAGCGGATGATTCTTTAGGGGAAGTGATATTTCTTTTCTTTGTCCTACGCTCTAGATAAGACGAGTGAACATCTTCCTCCACATCTCCCTCCTTTCGAGTTCATTTTGCCTTTCATTTTTTAATTTGTTTACGTATAACTTTGTATCAGTCCTAACTGATAGGTCTACTGTCGCTCGATGCGCTGTACGGCTTGTCATTTTGTCAGTAAGGAATGTAACTCAGTGCTCATGTTACTCTCTCTTTGTGTGATAGCATGACAGCAATTCTAGTTCATTTACGTACTTTTTATCTTGTTTTTCATTCCTGAGAGAGTAACAATGCGTTAATTCTAATTTCTTCATGTCATTTTTCCTTTCAGTGGTAAATTACAATGCGTGCGTTCCCTTCGTAAGAGGATAACGAAAAATTATCCACTTATTCACGCACAATCAAAAGGAGGCCTTGAATAGTTCCTCATTCCTTACTGAGATCTACTATTTTGATAAAATCAGTCTTTAAAATTAGCTCTCTCCGATTAATTTCCTGGCCGCATAGCAGTTCCTAAATTTCAGTTGATGTAAATTTTCCCTAATCTCGCATGCCAATCCGTCACTCACAATGCCATGCCTTTCATTTAGCTTTGTTCTTAATTAGCTGGCTGAGCGTGCAAACGGAACTCCGCGCCAAATTTGTGACGTGGCAGCCGATTATTGGCTGCAGTCGTTAATCCATATTCATCAGGAGTTGCAGAACATTCAGCAAACCACGCTGTCCGTCTTCGAGTGAAGACGTGCTGTCGATCTGTTGTGCTAACATAACGTTGTGTTCTAGATGGAAGAAGACACTGGACCTATGAAGAAGGGCAAAGATAGCATTCTTATGTCATTATAACAGCAGGTGAGCATTGCCTTGGAAGAATATCGCCTTAAGCTTCCTGAGAGGTCTAAACAAGTAGTATTATCTCGGATCAACGATGTAGTACGAATCAGTTTCTCGGTCTGAGCGGCACGTCAACTCGAAATTAGACTAAATTAGGGTGTTGGCTTCGAGATAAGGAAAGCTATGACTGTAGATGGAATATTTTAGGTGAAAAACTATAAGGAAATGTTTCAATCGCAAAACCTGTTGGGAAATTCATTTTGTATATGAATTAATGCAGCCACGTGGAGGTCTGATGACTCGTCTACTCAGTGCCTTTGCTTCATTGTAAATAACATTTTAAAAGTGTGTGATGCTCTCCCTTTTTTTATAATAGTGTCAAAGAGCCAAAAAATTATCCAGAATTTTAATTCTTAGTTTTCGTCCACGTGGAAAGTAAGCATTCCCTGATAATATATATTTTTTTACAATCAGGAAGAGCAATGTTGTCAGAAGGATGGAAAAACAAAGAATTTGGTCATGAGAAGACACTGGAATAACTGAATTTTTAGTGGATACTCCAAAGCTAAGAAGTTTTTTTTTCCAGTAATACTAGCAAAAATGGTGGCCTTTTAATTAAATATCATATAACTATACAAAGTTTTCGTTCTTTTCGGAACCAATTGTCTTGGAATGGATAAAACTGATTCACATGGTAAGTGAATAGTTCTCAATTAGCCACCATTTTTGGAGTAGTTTGTTGTGTTACAGATTGTTATGCAAACCCTGAGCGATCATTTGATTTATGTGAATTGCTAGCTATAATTTGGAATAATTTATCTCAGATAATTTTATTGCATCGAGTTAAAGATAGAACAACTGGAAACTGTCAAAATCCTGACTACGGATTGCTGACACTTAAATTACTAACTTTAGAGCCGTTTGATCGTTCATTGTTTTGGTTTGTTTAACAGTCAGTATACCAGTTCTATTGCAGTTGATGTGACACAAAGGTAATATTAAGGTGGCACTTTACCAAAATACTTCGGCCAAATGAAATTCCAGATTGAGATCTTTCGATGAGTTTGATCAATTTTGAATATTTTCTATACGTTAAAACTCACATTGATGAACGCTTTCGACTTACGCTATCTTCAAAGACTGACCTTGGAAAGCTAGTTTATCAGCTGCGAAATGGACCCTAGAAGCCTTTGTGACCTCACTATCATGCTGTTCCCACTAGGCCGCGCGCTACGTCCGCCATTATGAAAGTCGTGTATTAGATGCACTAACTATCGGCGCCTTAAGAACTGCTTAGAAAAAAAGCCAACGCGGTCACCATCGGACCATACAGAACAAACAAATCTTACCAACTGATCAAAACTGACTAATCACCGGACGAACGCCATTTAAGTCTGACACCCACTTTAGTGCAAAACTGGCCAACAGTTTTAAAGGCCATAGTTGTAACGTTCCACTTATAAACAACTGTTCACTCGAATCTGATGACTTCTACTTAGACCAGTCTGTAGTTTCGACAACAAACATCTTCAGAACTATTCTCACCCGGACGATATTACTTCACGATTGACAGCTGAGTGAGACCAAGACAAAAAGTTGGCCAAAAGTATATTGATTAAATTGAAAATTCATCAGAAACTTTAATTCCGGAAAGGAAGTTTTTGTTATTCATACAAGAATTAAGAATTTAGTAAAGTGCCATCTTAGATTATCTCCTTTATTTTTGTGCCATTCACTGAGTTCGGTTTCCGTTTGGAAGTATTATATGTTTTAAAACTCTGATGCCTGGTCACGAGCCCTTTCGAGAAAGTTATCAAGTTAACATTTACCTTTCTATGAACCAGCCTAAATGTACATCTTTTACAACAAAGAGATGTAGGTTTTCATTTTAAGAGAAGATTTTATTCGATAGAAATTGAGATGTTGTATTCTTTCGAAAATCGTTGGAAAATAGTATATAGACTGGACGAAGATCAACGTGAATAAGACAGTCAATCTTTTGACCAATAAAATATTGTCGAAATAAAAGATCATCTTCTTGTCTCACACGAACAAGATTTACAAATTTTTGATAAAAAACGTTGATTTTTCACACGAACGTTGAGATCAGAAAAGTAAACAAACAAAATTGGGAATTATTTGATAGTTTACGAAATAAAAATAATTGTCATGCTTTCACATATTGATGACGAGTTTTATGGGATTTAGGAATTATGAACATATCCACCGATTTCAGAATTAAAATCTGTACTTAGAGCACGTTGCTGTTAAGAAACCGAAGAGCGAACCAAAAATACAAATTAGTGGTATTCAATTTGTGGAAAATAAAAGAGTTTGTGTTCTCGCCTTGAAACGCTAGTGCTTTTTATTCCTTTACCGCGATGATCGTCATTTTGCAGGTTTATATGAAATTGCTTCTGTGATACAAACCTTCTAGTAGGCCACAAAATTTTTAAAATAGGTCGCATTCGATAAAAGGAACACTTGTTACCCTTTGGACCAGGCATTTAGTTTTAAAATATATCTTAGTTTATTTACTCATTATTGTTAATTGAGGGAAGATCTTTTGTGCAATTACTCGGTGTAACACAGGAATACATAAAAGAAAAATCATCAACTAAACTATGAAATTTTGTTCACAATAAAAATAGAACAGACTAAATAACGACAAAATCTCTTAGAACAACTCGCTGCAGGAATTTATCGTAAATAACTTGGAGTCTAACTTCTGGCGAAAATAGAACTCAGAGTCTGTTTCAACAATTGATACTATTTCATTTCTCAAATAACTTTTCGAACCTCATTTCAGAACCTTGAAGCCTAATTGTTGAATGTCGTAGCCTTAGAGGCTAAAACCAAATACAAAGAGTTCGCTCACACTTAAAATCTTTTTACAATTTTGCTAAATTTCTTAACAAATTTTATTTGAGAAATTTGGAGCCTAATTGGCTATTGCAGCCTGAATCAGCTAAGTTTTATTCCAACAACTGATACAATCAAAAAATACTCCGCTAAGTAGTTGGCATAAGAAAATTTAGAGCCTCATTGTAAAATGTTCTAGCTCTTGTAGCTACAATAAAATTCAAAGAGCTTTTTCATTCAAAATCCATAAAAAAAATAGAAAATTTTGAATGGGGAATTTGCTTCAGTTCTGTGATGAATATTTTCGGTGCTTTTCAAAGCTGCGTCCTGTGTTACATTCGAAACGTGGTAGCTTAAAAGATCTTTCACTCCGAAAAAAAAATTAGCTTGCCACGATTCTTTTGCGTTAGAAACTTCCACACGTCTCGTGCAAATAATTGTAGTCTAAAAAAACCTTGGCTAAGAGATAAACATTGTCGAGTCAGACCATCTTTTGAAAGAAACGAAGCAGAAATGGGCGTTTACGAGTACACTTTTTTGCACGAGATGCTGTTTCATTATTTTTGGCGGTTATTTTTAGAGGAAGCCTTTTTTTAAATTTTGGCCGAAAATGTTGCCAGGGAAAACTCTGTGCAAACTGCTCCAAATTTTCCCGCCAAAAGTCTTAGTATATATACGAAACATTTTTCTTAACATCTTTTTTGATTCAATTGAAAATTGCTTAAGACAAATAAAATGATTTGTTGAGTATGAAACTTTTGTGACTTATTGAGTGTATATTGAAGGACAATAAAAGTTGAGACAGAAACTGAATACTTAACTTTATTGACTTGTTTACTAATAGTAGATGATAATACAAGAAGAAAACGAATAATTAAATTTTCTGTTTATTGACAATATATATACTTAAAAAAAAAAAAATCGGCGCAT